GAGTTCAAGCCCCATGTTGGGTGTGGAGCCTACTTTAAAAAAAAGAAAGGAAGGAAGGAAAAGAGACACTCAACAGACTGAGCCACCCAGGCGCCCCTGCCCCAGCATTCTTAAATTTAAACGACCGCTTATGGCTAGTGGCCCCCTTGGGACGAGCCCTTAAGCTTCTTGAGGACAGGGGCAATGGGCACTGTCCCCCAGCACTGAGCACTGCACGCCGCTCACATGTAAGTCGTCTGATGAGTGATCGAGTGAATGAAGCATCAACCACTTGGCAGCGGGTTCTGGGAGGTTCCAGCTGCCATGTCCCTGGGGTGACTCCAGGCCACGGCATGTATTCAAACCCTCGGAGAGCTGTGTTACCCTCTGAGCCCCAGTTTCCCCACAAGGAAAATGACTGCCTCCAACAGTGTGACCATGAGGTTTCCCTGCGTCCTCACCACCAGGATGAGGGGGAGGGGCTGAACCCCTGTACTTAACACAACCCCCCCTCTTCCCCGAGTGGCCTAGTGGGGCGCAGTTCTATTCAGGCAGGGCTGTCGTGCAGCAGAGACCCATCATGTTGGCATGGGCCTCGAGGTGTCCGGCCCGCCGATCTGCCAGGCTTCAGAGGCGTCAGGGTCAAACTCCAGCTTCCTCACGTAAGGTCGGTGTCCTCTTGGCCTCAGATTCATAATGGACGCAGAGAGGAAGACAGGAAGCAACGAACGAAGAGCGCCCTCTCACGGACTGGCCCGGCTTGGGCTTTCCGCTGGGAAGGGTGTGCTCCAAGCCCGGCGGCCGATGGCCAGCTGCGGCCTAGGAAGGAAGGCCTAGGGCGTAAAGGATTTTCAAGGTCAGATGTTTGTTTGAAAGGAAAAGATTCACGGGGCACCTGCTCACAACCCACTCCAGGTGCTCCCGATATTCCCATTTCTCAGACAGGCATGTGGATGGTGATGTGACTTTCAAAGCCCCTTAGATAAGACATATGGCCCCACCACCTTCCCATTCTGCCTTGGGGTTGTGACTCCATTCACTTGGACTTTGTTTCTGGTCAATCCATGCCTCTGTCTGTGACATGCAAGCCCACACCTGCATCTGCCCAGCTGACTCTGCCTCAGGCATGTCAGAGAGCCCCCTCCCCCAGGAGGTCTCCTGCTCCAGAGGACAGCTCCCCACTACCCCGTCAGACGGCTCTATGATCCTTTATTTCCTTTTTTCTATTTATTTTTATTTTGAGAGAGAGACAGACAGAGAGCACCAGCAAGGGAGGGACTGAGAGAGAGGGAGACAGAGAATCCCAAGCAGGCTCCTTGTTAACAGTGCGGAGCCCAAGACTGGGTTCAAACCGACAAACTGGGAGACCATGACCTGGGCCGAAACCAAGAGTCAGATGCTCAACCAGCTAAGCCATCCAGGTGCTCTTTTTATGAATTTTATTTTATTTTATTTTATTTATTAGGGAGAAAATGCGTAAGCAGAGTATGGGGGGTGGAGAGAGAGAGAGAGAGAGAGAGAGAGAGAG